GCCTTCACTTAGGGCGGGCACGAGGCTTGCTGGGGGCCTTAGCCCAGAACATGTACATCACGGCAAGGCCCCTTTGAGGGCTCAATCCTCACAGGAGGGGAGACATGGAGAGGGGAGGGGAGACATGGAGAGGGAAGGCAGCAGTAGGGGAGGGTGAAGAAAATGCAGACAGAGGGAAGGGAAGGTAAAGAAAGGAAGGAGAAGGATAGGGAGAGCAGGAGGAGGGAAGAGAAGGAAAGGGAAAGGGAGGGGAAGGGAAGTGGGATGAAGAGAGAAAACGGAAGAGGAAGATGGTGAGACAGAGGAGACTAGAAGGGGAAGGGAGGGAGGGAGGGAGAGCTGGAGAGGGCAGGAGGAGAAGGAAGGGAAAGGGGTGAGGGGAGAACTGAAGGGGAGGAAGGGCAGGGGATGGAAGGGGACGCTAGGGACGGAAATTGAAGGGTTTGAAGTGAAAGGAAGTCGAGGGATCAGAAGGGAAGGGGACACAATGGGGAAGGGAGGGTTATGGGAGAGGGGGTGTGAAATGGAGGGAAGCACAGGGAATGCGCAGCAAGAAGAGGGAAGGGAAGGGAAAAGGAGGGAAGGGGAGGAGAGGTGGAGGGAAGAGAGAACAGGAGGGGAAGGCAAGGGAAAGGGCAGAGGAGGGGAGAGATAGGGGAAACAGAGGGGGAAAGAAGGAAGGAAATAAGAGAGGGAAGAAAGAGAGGGGAAGAGAGGGGGGGGAGGAAGGGAGGGGAAGGGAAGGGGGGAAGGAGGGAAGGTAAGGAAGGAGGAGGAGGGGGAGGGAAGAAGTGAGAGGAAGGAGGAGGGGATGCGATGGGTGTGAAGGGAGGGAGGGGGATGTGATGGGAGGAGAAGGAGGAGGGGAGTCACCTACCTGGCGGTGGTCTGTCTCTTATACACATCTAGATGTGTATAAGAGACAGGTGTGTGTGTGTGTGTAAGGGCCACCGTGCAGCGTGAATATATTTTGTGCCAGGCAGCGTGATCTCTTTTTTTTGGTACAGCACAGCGCCGATTT